GAAGACAAATAACAACAACATTACAATGTAAACAAATAGACAAATAAACAATTAAACAAATACCATGCAAATAACTTTGAAACTGTAAAAAATGAAGAAAATGAAGAAATACCTTCAACAATGGTGTCACGAGGTTGCTACGGCGGTTTGAGATGATAAAGAAACGGAGGTCGGAGGTTGCTACAGCGATTCGAGACGATAAACGACAGTGGCACGACTAGAAGGAGAAAGAAACGACGGTCGGAGGTCTGGTAGGGTTCGTATGTTCGTCTGAGAGTGAGAGAATGAAATAGAGTACGTCAGAAACAAAATACCCATTCTGTTTTAATTTAAGAAAACAGACCTATAGCAGCACTTTTTTATAAAAGCGCTGTCTTTGTAGTGCTGCCAAAAACTACTTTTGGCGTAGTGTCTTTCACTCTTTCAATTCACTTACTACCAAAAATCCTCTAACTTTCTTTTTTTTTTTAATAACAAAACTCCTAAATTTTGGATTCACCCTTTTATTCTTACTTACTCACAAAAACCCAACAATATCCTTCCTATTTTATTTTTAATATTTAATTATTCTATTCTTATTATTTCATTTTTAATAACAAAATAATTAAATTCACTAAAAATATTAATACTCATATTATTTTATTTAATAACTAAAATACTATTATTTTAATTATTCAATCACTTCTACACTATCACCCTACTACTTTATTCTTTTCCACCATACACAAATTAACTTAATTAAATAATTAAAAAAAAAAGGTGTTACGGTGGACTCCTTAAAAGAGATTGACATGTCCGCTGTTTAAGATGGAGTGCGTGTTTTTAATAAATAAACTATAAAGATGACATGTGGGATATTTATTTTTAGATGGTGGCAGTTTGGGAGCAATGTAGTAAACAAGTAAGAAATCCTCAACTCTATTCCTAATTCCCTCGCTAGGAGAGTCAATTTAACTTTATACCTACCTAATTTAACAAACACTTGTTTATACCAATGGTTAAAAGAAACTTATAGCTAGTTAATCACTCGAATCTCTCTAATCACTTTGTAGTTTGTATTTTTTTTTTCATGCAACTTATCATTATGATCTTAATTGATTTTTTAAAATATTAATTAAGTTGTTTTTATGTTCTTTTACATTTATTAATTAGCTCAATCATTACTTTAATTAAATATTATAAATTTTTTTAAAAATAAATACTACAATTTTAATTTGCTTGTGTGCTATAAATTTAGTTTAAATAAATACTAATTTTAAATAATCTTATCTGTTAGGTTCTGAGATGATGTCACTTCCTTGTATTGAACATAAATTACAATTTTATAGTCAAGCAAAAAACAAGCTACCATTGTTTTATCACAGAAAAAGAAGTTGTATACGTTTCTATACTAATATTTTATCCACAAGAACTATGCATTAAACATCAACTTGACAACGTCAACGATGACATCTATGAAACCGAAACATGTACCATGTATGTAAACGATCTCACTAAAAATCTTATATTTCATTTTAGGGACAACCATATAAAAATCAAAAGAAACTTCAATCCACGCTATATTATAGAATTACATAATTAAAATATTGAAAATATAAAAAAATTATAAAATAAAAATGTTGTGGGGGCAAGTGTCCCCACTCTACACTATGTAGATACGCCATCGGTTGATTTTATAAAAATAAGTTAAATTTATAATGGGTTGATGTAATTTACCGTGGCGGAGAGTTTAAAGTTTATGATGGGGGAATGTATAGATAGCCATATTTTATTGAAAAGTTGTACTAATAGTTGTATCTAGATATACCGGTATAATTTTCAATTTAAGATTTAAAGGGATTTGACTCGTTAATACATTTTCATTTAAAAATAATAATAAAATAGTAAAAAGAGGAATTTCCTCAAATGTTTAGTCTACTCGTCTTTTTGTGTCAGATAGTCTATCATCAACTTTTAGATTTTTTGTTCAGTCAAATTTTAGATTTGATTTTATCATTGAGTCTACTTTATTTCAAAACAATTTTAGCAAATTTGGTAATATAATTTAGTCTAATATCTCAGTTTTTTTGATGCATCTAAGTTCAAACATGACTCCTACTAATGAAACCAACTCTCAGGTCCCATCATATGAGTCATTGTCACTCTCAATACATAATTCTATCATTCTTCTGATTCTTTATCTCAATGATTATCATATGACGATAAGAGCTATGATTGATCATTCGAAGCCTAAAGCTCTTCTCACGCATGTGGAACCTACTTCTGTTAAGCAAGCTCTTGCTCACCCAAATTGGTATAAAACTATGTAATTAGAGTACGATACACTTTCGGCCAATCAAACATGGAAACTAACAACTCTTCCTACTCATAGAAAGCTGGGTGAATGTAAATGGATTTTTAAAGTGAAAGAAAATCCCAATGGTAATGTGAATAAATACAAAGCCCAACTTGTTGTAAAAGGTTATCATCAACAATTTGACTTTGATTTTAATGAAACCTTCTCACTTGTTGTGAAGCCTACCGCCATTAGAGTTATTCTTACTTTAACATTAACTCATAACTCGAAACTACAACAAATTGCTATCAATAATGTGTTTCTTAATAGTTCACTAAAAGAGGAAGTCTACATGACACAACCTCTTGGCTTTGAACAACAAGACTTTACAATTGTATGCAAGTTTAGATATATGGCCTTAAGAAAGTCAATTGGGCATGGTATGGGAAGTTACTTCGACTCTTGTTCTTTTTGGTTTTGTTCATAGTAAATGTGATCATTCCTTCTTCATCTACTCTCATTAAAGAATCATCCTATATGCACTAGTCTATGTTGATGATATTCTCATTAAAGGATCCTCATCTACTTTGGTGCATAAGATAATTGACTCTCTTCATGCGACCTTTGCTCTTAATAAACTAGGGGCTCATGAATATTTCCTTAGTATAGAGATAAAACGACTTTCCCAGGTGAACTTCTTCTCACTTAGACAAAGTATATTTGTGATCTCCTCTCTTGAGCTAAAACGTGTAATGTGAGTGGTGTTACTACTCTTATTCTAACTAACTATAAACTTAGTAAACATAGAACCTCTGCTCTCTCAAATCCTTGTCTATATCGCTCTATAGTTACTGCTTTTCAATATGTTTCTTTCAAACGAACAATATTACCTTCAACGTAAACAAAGCATGTGTATTCATGAAATCTCCATCAGAGTCTCACTGGACAGTATTTAAAAGGATCTTGTGATATCTTAGTGGTATCATCACACACGGTCTCTTACTTTTTCCACCACATGTGTCACAAAAGTTTTCCTTACGTGTATTTAGTGATTCAGACTGGGCTAGTGATTCGGCTGATCGACGATTTACCTCTAGATCTTGTGTTTTCTTTATTCTAAATCTTGTGTCGTGAAACTCTAAGAAATAACCTCTCATAGCATTTCAAGCACAAAACCATGCTTTTGCTCATACTATGTCTAAATTGCTATGGTTGGAATCACTTCTCAAGGAACTTACAGTCTCATTTCTACCTCTCATTCTCTTATGTGATAATCTTATTGTTGTCTTGTTGTCTCACTATCCAATCCTTCATGTGCATACAAAGCATATTGAACTAGATACTCACTTCGTTTGTAAGCGTGTTATCTGTAAGAGAATGAATATTCAGCATGTACCAAGCTCCTTGCAACTTACAGGCTCCCTCACAAAGCCCTTTGGTAAAACTTCATTTCAGGATCTTATGGCCAAGCTCAAAGTCGTGACATTTGTCTCCTCTTAAGCTTGTGTGTGTGTGTGTAGGGAGAGGGGATTAGAAGTAGTAGTAGCTTGTGCACTATGATGAATATGATGGTAGTATCTAATTATAGTTAGCAATGCGTTTGAATCATTAATGACATGCATGATAACACAAGTCAAACATGAATGAGTTCCTATAAATACTAGGGCATTACTTTTGTAATGTTTAACTCATTAATGCATAGTATAATGGAGTTTAAAGTTATAATTATATCAAAAACTTCTCTTCTCATGCGACAAAATAATGCATTTACTATTTCGTCAATTTGATTATATTTGCGCAACAAATTCATATGTAAAAGATAATAAATTTTTGGAATGACAATTATTAGGAGTGATAATTTGACTCATTTCGAATGAGTATCCACTATGGATAAAGTAAAAACTTGTAAAATAAATATATACACGAGTTTAATTGATTACCCATTAAAATATGTGAATATCTATATTTATGAACACTTTAATAATCACCTACTAGATAGTCGATCAATATATATTTATATAATTTAATTTAAATTATCATTAAAAAATGAATGTTTATCGATCAATCAATGTAAATTTATATAATTTAATTTAAATTATCATTAAAAAATGAATGTTTATTGATTTTTTTTTAAAAGCATCAATATTAAATTATTAATTATTTAATATAGATATTGATTTATTATATAATTTTCAACAATTAATATTTTGAAAACTACTTTAATTGTCTTAAAATTTTAAAATAATATGATATCTTATAATTAACTTGTTTATTTTTTTATAAAAATGCAGGTAACTAGTCCAAACTCTCTCAATTGCCATCTATAGTCATGACCACCCATATGCTAACATGGAGACATTTACATAATATAGTATTTTAAAATATAATTATAGATTCGGTTGTACTGAACAACCACAATTATATTTTATATTCTATCTTCTATTATATCATAAAATATAATTATAGTTATATAAAAGTAATACACGTTTTTTACAACAGAGATCTTATAACTAACGCATAACACATGAGTATTTATTTATTATCATAATCAATAATTCGACAACTTGTTGCTGAAACAGATCACCAATACTTCCTTTTTAAACTTCCAAACTGTATTGCAGTATTTGGAAACTCCGAGACAATTCCATTGACTTATTTACCCCTACCATTTTCATCAATTTACTTAACTCTCCTCGGTCCCTCCGTCGTCGCGGAGCGCGGGAACATGGAAACGGCACCGGAGGAGAAAGTGTTTCTAGGAAGTGATAAATTCGCCGATTCTTCATCCAACAGTTTCAACACTATTCTGGCTTTGTCGTTATGGCTTGGAGCTATTCATTTCATTGGAGCAGTGTCTCTCTTCGCACTCTTCTTCCTTCCTTTCTCCAAAGCACTCTTGTAACCTTTTCTATTCCATTTTTTTCTTTCATGCATATCTATTTAGAAGTATTTAATTGACTTATTTTAGAATCACTTTATGCAAATTGACTTTATCCAAAGCTACAATTTAGAGTGAGTTTTCGTGACTTGGTTTGTAATGTCAGGGTTTTTGGTTTGCTTTTCGTGTTAATGGTGATTCCTATTGATGAAAAGAGCGTCTATGGTCGAAAATTAGCAAGGTACTTTTTTCTTTTCTCTTCAATTTCCTTTTTTTTCTATATGATGTAAAACTTGAGTATATATTTTTTATGGCTATATTATTTTTCAGGTATATATGTAAGCATGCTTGTAATTACTTTCCAGTTACGCTTCATGTAGAGGATATAAAGGCTTTCCATCCAAATCGTGCTTATGGTTTGTTTTTCTAATCAACTAACTATTTGTAATATTAGTTCATTTTTTGAAGTTTTTTAGGGTGTTTCTTTGTTCTTCAAATGCTTCTTCTATCTATTGAACATTTGCACTTATTTACATATAAGAAATTGAAAGAAAAACTTTTGAATATACAAAATTATATATGTAAGTTTGGTATTTGTCAAAAAATCGTCGTGTAAAGGCTTTTGCGATTTCGGTTAGTACGGGTGTTGCGATACTGATTGCGATCGTCATGGAGTGAATTAACCACATTTTGTTCTTTATTATAAAAAGGCAAATAATGGTATCGGTATCGGCATTTTCTGATAGCGGACTGTTTTTGGCAAAAAAACATTCGGGTCGCGTAAAGGTTTTCGTGATTTCGGTCAGTATAGGTGTTGCGATACTGATTGCTATTGTCACGGGGTGAATTAACCAAAGTTTGTTCTTTATCATAAAAACGGCGAATAATGGTATCAGTATCGACACTAGATGATCATTGTTTGGCTTCTATTTGGGAAGAAATTGTAGTAGGAAAGTTGGTGGTTCGGGACTACTTGACACTAGATGATCATTTTCCTTGATCTATAAAGAGTTTGGCTCCTATGAAACAAGAGGGAAGACAAATTGGAGGATAAGGATTAGGAGACAGTCAACAACCAATGGTGGATGATCCAATATTAAAATTTAGACATGATTGAGTCTCTGTCAAATCTCAAATGCATGACTCCTTGACTACAAGGAACCCAAATCCATAATTTAATGGGTGTTTGGTGATAGTTGTGAAAAGAGATAATTTGGCTAAAATTTGTTGAAGGGGGTCATGGTATTATATATAGGAGTGGTCATAGTTGAGTGAAAAAAAACTAAACTGAATCGAAGAAAACCATTAAATAGTTAAGTTAGTTAGAACCAACATTTTTGCAATTAGGCAGAACTGAATTGAACAGCTTCTGTGGCTCAGTGCAGTGGTTGCAAATTTAGAACTATAAACTATTCTCAATGCATAATGAACTGATAATCTTATATTTAGTCAAAACAGAAAACAGAACTGAATCAAATTGCACTTCTAGTGAATTTATATAGGTGTGGTACTAACTGGTTTATGCTGTAATTTCTTTAATAGTCTTCAATTAAATGTAACAGACAATTATATATGATGAATTGTATTATTTAATACAATACAAACTGTTTAATTTAATAAAAGAGAGATAAACAGAAACCATGGAAAATAAACATGTTAACAAATTTTAAGTGAGATTATCGTTTGATTAAACTGAATATCTGGAAGCTAGTTGATATTAACAACAGTATGGTCTTGATGCAGTTTTTGGTTATGAACCACATTCAGTGTTACCAATTGGAGTTGTTGCACTAGCCGACAGTACAGGTTTTATGCCTCTTCCAAAAATAAAAGTTCTTGCGAGCAGTGCAGTAAGGCTTTTACTTGAGGTTTTGAATCTTAATGAAATTTATTAAGGATGATATTCTAAATGTTTTACTTCACATTTTTGATAAATAGATATTTTACACACCATTTCTGAGACACATATGGACATGGTTGGGTCTGACTGCAGCAACAAGGAAAAACTTTAACTCCTTGCTGGATGCAGGCTATAGTTGCATCTTAGTACCAGGTGGTGTTCAAGAAACATTTTTCATGGAGCATGATAGTGAGGTACATTGTTTTCTTCACTCCCTTTCTTCCACAACGTTTTATATTTTTATTCTTTCATTGATAACTGAGGGGCCACCTTCCTCCTTTCCCAAAATGCTCCTTATTCTCCCTTAATGAATGAATACCTCTGAGAGAATACAATTTCTCCTTATTTCCGGCTTCCCTAAATCTGGTTCTTTTTGTATCTTTTCTATTGCTAAGCTGTAATTAGCTGTCAATGCAGTTTCAGCTACCTCGGTTTGTTCGGGTTTGGTCAGCTATGAATGATCTCACTGGCATATAAGCACAATGTTGTAACCTATTTACCACCGATATCTTGGATTACACTGACATACATAGTTACATTCAATCACTTTCATTTTCTTAAATTATCACATGTGTCTACGTGTCAGTGTTCGTGTCGTGTCTATGTCAGTGCTTCATTGGTTGTAACATCTTCAAGTGATTTATCATTCTGTCAGAATTCAATTCTGAATTCAATGTTTAGATTCTCTGAAGTCTAATAGCTTTGATCCCGAGTTCTATGATAATCTAACTTATTTCAAATGACAAAATTATGTGTTTCATAATAATCACACAGTGCCTAAAATTACTGCAAATTATTCATGAAAAGATCACTGCATTGGTTAAGATATATCTGACTGGTTGTTATAATATCTATTTCACTTTCTTTTTGTTTTTTGTATTGCATTTAGCCAGTTACTACTTTACTCTTTTTATTAAAAGGGCTCTAGATAAAAAGGGCTACAATATGTACCTTACTCTTTTTATCATATGATTTATATTCGTATATAGATTAACAATATTAACTAATAAGAATCATGTACTTTCTAGATTGCCTTGCCTTATAACAATATTAACTAATAAGAATCATGTACTTTCTAGATCGCCTTTCTCAAGGCAAGAAGAGGATTTGTCCGCATAGCGATGGAAAAGGGGAAACCGCTGGTTCCAGTTTTCTGCTTTGGACAGGTCTTTCTTTCTTTATTTACTGCTCAGATCTCTTTCCATTCATATGGACCTCTTGCAGAATGTCACTTTCCTTATCTGTTAGTGTTTTTCTTTTTCATTATCTTTGTTCATTTCAATTAACATTCATCTTTTGATACAATCTCTCTATAGTCAAATATTTATAAGTGGTGGAAACCAGGCGGGAAGCTAATTCTGAATTTTGCAAGGGCTATCAAATTCACCCCGATATATTTTTGGGGAATTTTCGGGTACATGTTTACTTTTATATGTCAATTTGCATCCTGCATGTGATCTGATATCCTTTTTGGAATTAATGATTTGAGCATGGTAGTGGTTAGTTGATTGGCACACAAGTTAGTGTTCCATATCCATAGAACTATATTTTAACGCAGATTATCTCTTAAATCTTCTCCTCGTTAGATCTCCAATACCATTCAAACATCCCATGTATGTGGTGGTGGGTAGACCAATTGAGCTTCAGAAAAATCCAAAACCAACGCCCGAGGAGGTATATCTATACACGACTATCATACGCCTTTTATCTTATATAGTGTTAACGAATTTAAACAACAAATTACTACTTTTATGTCATCGACATTGTTTCAGGTTGCGAAAGTACATACTCAGTTTGTTGAAGCACTTCAGGATCTTTTTGAACGGAACAAAGCTCGAGTGGGATATCCAAACCTTCAGTTGAAAATTGTTTGACAAGACCACGACTTCGACAATCAATCTACGCGTGTATCCTCTTATGAATAATGATACAACTGGTTAGATTAAAAATGTAGAAAATATAATTATATTGAAGAAGTGTTTCCTCTTACAAATGATGATACAACTGGTTTAGATTAAAAATATATATGATTATATTGAAGAATTCTATGTGATCATGCCCTGTGTAAGTACATCACTAAGAATAAGAATCTATATATCCATCTATATCTATTTATATGTCTATCTACTTGTTATACAAAGTTTAGTTTTAGGTTCAATATAGAGGTGTCATGTAGTAAAATAAATTTGAATTCATATATGTAAAGAAAATTTACCCTATTTGTTTACATAGTTATTTTAGTTCCTAAAAATTTTCATTAGCATTTATTTTGCTTATAAATATGTACGTATTTTATAATATTAAATGTTGTAATTATAAAAATAATCTTGTTTAAATAGAAAGAAAATGAAATTTAATAGGTTTTGCTTAATTGGACTAGTATTGCAAATTGCTATTTACACTTTATTATTTACATCATTTATCATCAAACCTAAATGAATACCAATCATCGTAACATTGCAAATAAGTTGTTGAATCTTTTTGTTAACTGTCGGCTAACATTTAGATGAAATATATGTTGTAATTATTAATCTAGTATCCATCTTTTCTTTGATGATATACCGATCAATTTCAATGTGTTTTATTATGTCATGCTAAACACAATTATGTGCAACATTGATAACTGTTTATTATTATCACAAAACAACTTTATAGGACTTTATATTGTATCTTTAAATCTTTTAATACTTATTTCATTACAAAATTTCATATCATAGTTCTAAATTTTGATTCACTGCGTGATCCAACAACCACACTTTATTTCTTACTCCTCCAAACAATTAGGTCCTACATAATAAGGTAGGATAACAAGAAAGAGAATCTTTTACCTTCATTGAATTTGTATTTTATCCTTCTTTGAATTTGCATAGTCAACGTCAATTTAAATTTTTATAGTTAGACTTCCACTAATTTTAAACAAGAGCTCTTTTCTTAGAGGAAATTTGAGATATTATAGAATACGTTTTAAAGCTTTCAAGTGGCTTTTTTCTCGATCATGCATAAATTCACTAACTACACTGATAATATATGTCAAACGACATACATTGTTTGTTTCACCCGTAAGACTAAGCTAAATGAAATTTGAATATTCATTTTTCTTCTAAATCACTGGGCAAGAAAGTATCTTTTACATTAAATTAAATTGACGTAGTTTCCAATCATAATGAGCAAAAGGAGATGATAATATCTAAACATTATCTATTTGTCTGTCATAGAAAATGTCTTATTATAATAAATGTGATTTTAGACAAAACTGCATATAATGTGTTTCTAGAACCACTGATGTAAGAGTTGCCCCAAGTTAAAGTTTTAGGGATGCACAATATCTGAATGAACAAACGTAGGCAGTGCCCCCAATTTTGATATCATTTGAAAGATTTCACAAGTTCATCGACATAATAATCACCAAGTATTGATTCAAAGAATTTTATGATTATGAGGGCTTTGTCTCGGTATTTTTTGAAAAAAAGCTCAAAGTGCAAGCCTTAAGAATTTTTTTTTTTCTCTTGAGTGTCATGGTTCCAAAATAATTTTTTTTGAAATTTTTTTTTGAAAACAAACAATCAATGGTTGATCTAAAAGCACATTTTATAGTGTTATTAATGGATGAGAGATAATGAATGAGACTCGAACAATTATCAAGACAATTGCTCTTTTATTTTTCAAATGCTTGCTCGATGACGAGGAAATTTATATTATATTTTGTTCCACTTTTTGTGGATTTTCTTTAAACTCTTTTTTTATTTGAAATATCCTTAATTTTCTTAAACCGCTCTTCTGAGTCTTTGATCTATCGGGATGTCCTAATTTTTTTTAAGTTGCCTTTTTAAGTTTTCAACTTATCGGACTTACTTTCTACATTATGAGGAATACATGAGTGATAGGAGTATTGACCCTACTTATTGTGAAATATTTATCATTGTCTTAGGTGACTTCAATGTTTTTTCTTTAATGGAAAATGTCATTTTAAATTATGATTATCATTTCATAAAAACTTAATTTCAAGACGAATTCACTCAATTTTATTTGTTCTAACTTTTGGTTATAATGTCTTAAAAAGTTTTCAATCAAACTAATTATTATTTTACTGCGCTCTAACTTTTGCTTGGGTGCACTTACGGGTTTTCAATCTAACGAGCTATCTTTCTTTTCATCCTAACTTTTGTTTAGGTTGCCTTTTCAGATTTTCAACCTAACAGGCATTTTTTTTCAAAAGGACTTGCACGATTTTTCAAATACTCTAGTGATCGTACAAAGTCAACGAAAAATGTTGCGGTTTGAGACTTCAAGAGAATGATCAGGTGGATCTTTTTTGTTTAATTCAAAAGACAAAACATCTCAAGGTAACTGAGGACAAATGCGAGAGGACAAATGGAAGAATGAACGGACAAGGAGACTGACTCATGCAAAAATGGAGATATATGTCATGCAATTTCATTAAATGAATGCTTCAAAAAGAGGTAACATTGGTTCTTTCAACTTGACCAAACAACTATATCATGTCATTCATATAGTTAAAAATTTGACCATCAAAGTTATCATTTTCAAGGATAGACTAACAAGTGTTTGTTCTCTAAAACTCAAAACTCGTTGAAAGCATATTTATTTTTGTGAACTCAAAAAGTTGGATTTTTTTTATCATTTGAAGGAGAAGTGATCAATTCAAACTTCCTTTCACAAAAGTATCTTTTCAAGCATAATACACTATACAAATTTACAAAAATTCACCACCTCTTTTTTTAGACTTGTATGCTTTTTATCTAAAAGTGAAGAAATTTGGATGCATGATGATGCATGAGGTTGTTTTTTCTAATGCAATGTGCTAAGTATGAATGCAATATGCCCATTTTTGTTTATTTTTTATTTATGAATGTGATATGCTATAAGATTTCTCCATGAAAACATATGCAATGCAATGTCATGCATAGGATTAAGAAGGAGTGGGTTTAGGATAGTATGAGCAATTGTGTGATAGAATAGCCTATATAGGAAGATTCCTTATGAAAAAATAGTTCTAAGTATTTTCTACCGTTAGATGCCAAACTTTGCTTATTTTCTCTATCAAATGTTGGCATCTTTCATTCTTTTTGTAGGTGAAAGTGATTAGAATCACTCATGTTTTAGATGATATGCTTCATTGTTGGAAAATGCCTTGGTTGCTTTGATTTGTGTGTTATTGTGCAGGAATTAGGCACAAAACAAGTGAATAGTAAGACACAAGAAATTGGGCAAGGAAACCAAGACAGTAGAAAAATATCATAAAACTCGCCGTGCGAAGCTCCTAGCGAAGCTTGTCAGAAAACTTCACAAAGATCGCTAGGCGAAGGAGGCAGCGAAGAACTCGTTAGGCGAAGTGGTAGCGAAGCTCTAGCGAACACTCCCAGACTTGAGGTAGTAACTTTTTGGACAAGAATTTGTTGTGCAAAGTGTGTAGCGAAGCCTTCGCAATGTGAATGATTGCTCGCACAACGAACATGTGGAAAAGTCTCAAAGGCGGTTTAACTGTTCAGAGACACCTCAGGTGCCTAATTTGATGTTCGCTAGGCGAAGGATATGTTCGTAGTGCGGACATGACATATCCTGATTGTACTATATAAGTACTTTTATTGCTTTTTAGGTTATAACGTGATATTTTCTACATCAGAACTTATCTCTTTTCATTTCAAGTTTATTTTAGAGAGAGAAACACAAAACCCTAAGAGGGGGAGGTAAGATCTTTGATCTCTTGTTGGGGTTTGGATCTAATCTTTTGATACCTTATGTATTTCATCTAATATATGTTTGTGAACTAATTTTGATTCTCTATTGATTGATTGTCTTTGATTTCTGTTGTGGGTCTTGACAAAACCTTTTCACATCTTTGATCTAAGATTTTCATCTATCAATGAACAAATTTTTGACATGGTTTTGTAAGTTTATATTCATTGTATCTTCATTTCTATTGTGTTGATTGAGTAGCATGGGTAGCATGAGTAGGATCAATACGATATTGTGCGGGTGCGTGATAATAGTGATGAAGAACGATGTTCACATATGTTTGGCAGATTAGATGAATACATGTAAAAAAGGTTAAGTGTATGTACGTATTCTGACCATTGTGTTTTATATGAAACAATCGTATCTGATATGGTGTCGTCTTTGTTTATCCGATATGTTATAGACATGTACTATTTAGATCTGGATCTAGGATGATTACCTGTTAGGTCTTAAACTCTAGACATAGATTTAGGCTTAGCATTTGCGTGAGTATCAGTTCTTAATGCTCTGTGTTGTGTTTTTATTGCATGAGACATCACCAATGAGATAACACGGTTGTTCTCTCGACGTTGCGTTAGAGATGACCTCTGTCGTGGGTGATACTTGAGGATATTAGACGAATGATTGAGTTGTGTTTAACATGATTAGAAGAATGCATGTGTTATCAATTGATGAGATCCAACCCCAACAATGCTCCGTTTATATTCCAGTCTTTACTTTATATTTTCCGTCTTTATATTTTTTGCCTTTTATTCATGGTTCCTTGAACCTTTTAAACCAAATCTTTTGAACAAAAGTTTAGAAATGTATAGACAGTTGAACAACGTTCTTTTATCGCACTGATTCCTGTGGAGACGACAAAACTAGGTACTTAATATTTTTTGCTTGCTGCTTTACCGCATCAACATCTACATAAACAACTTGCAAAGGTTAGCTCTAAGTTTTTTATAAAGGTTTCTAGAGTCACAGACCTTAGCCAAAAAATTTCCATGATAATGGGTTACCCATTTTATGACAAGATTCATGAAAAATATCTACTCTAAGCGGAGTCTTCATGTCAAGTATAAGAGGTGTATACCTCGGGGATAACGTTATGCAATCTCCAAACTCAAAACGG